ATTTTTAAATATAGTACTGCTGGTCCTCCGTATTTGTGCCGGTAATCAGCGGTGTCAAGTAACGAAGTACCAATACTTCATTACTGTACTTAAAGCTACAGTGTGTAATTTTCAGCGACATCTAACGTCCAGACTGCAGACTGCAGCAACATGAACATCCCCCCGCACCCCACCCCCCACCCCCCCGACCACGGTCTGAACGTAGCATAACTATGTTCAGACCGCAAGCAGCATGAGCAGCCAAAACGCGTGCGGTCTGATTATAGCATAACTATGATGAGTACGCATGCAGCAAGAGCAGCCAAAAGGCGTGCGGTCTGAACGTAGCATAACTATGTTGAGACCGCAAGCAGCATGAGCTGCCAAAACGCGTGCGGTCTGAACGTAGCAAAACTATGTTGATACCGCATGCAGCAAGAGCAGCCAAAAGGCGTGCGGTCTGAACGTAGCATAACTATGTTGAGACCGCAAGCAGCATGAGCAGCCAAAACGCGTGCGGTCTGAACGTAGCATAACTATGTTGAGACCGCAAGCAGCATGAGCAGCCAAAACGCGTGCGGTCTGAACGTAGCAAAACTATGTTGAGATTGCAAGCAGCAAGAGCAGCCAAAAGGCGTGCGGTCTGAACGTAGCATAACTATGTTGAGACCCGAGCAGTATGAGCAGCCAAAAGGCGTGCGGTCTGAACGTAGCATAACTATGTTCAGACCGCAAGCAGCATGAGCAGCCAAAGCGCGTCCGGTCTGATTATAGCATAACTATGTTGAGACCGCATGCAGCAAGAGCAGCCAAAAGGCGTGCGGTCTGAACGTAGCATAACTATGTTGAGACCGCAAGCAGCAAGAGCAGCCAAAACGCGTGCGGTCTGAACGTAGCAAAACTATGTTGAGATCGCATGCAGCAAGAGCAGCCAAAAGGCGTGTGGTCTGAACGTAGCATAGCTATGTTGAGACCGCAAGCAGCATGAGCAGCCAAAACGCGTGCGGTCTGAATGTAGCATAGCTATGTTGAGACCGCAAGCAGCATGAGCAGCCAAAATGCGTGCGGTCTGAACGTAGCAAAACTATGTTGAGATTGCAAGCAGCAAGAGCAGCCAAAACGCGTGCGGTCTGAACGTAGCATAACTATGTTGAGACCGCAAGCAGCATGAGCAGCCAAAACGCGTGCGGTCTGAACGTAGCATAACTATGTTGAGACCCGAGCAGTATGAGCAGCCAAAACACGTGCGGTCTGAACGTAGCATAACTATGTTGAGACCGCAAGCAGCATGAGCAGCCAAAACGCGTGCGGGCTGAACGTAGCATAGCTATGTTGAGACCGCAAGCAGCATGAGCAGCCAAAACGCATGCGGTCTGAACGTAGCATAACTATGTTGAGACCCGAGCAGTATGAGCAGCCAAAACGCGTGCGGTCTGAACGTAGCATAACTATGTTGAGACCGCAAGCAGCATGAGCAGCCAAAATGCGTGCGGTCTGAACGTAGCAAAACTATGTTGAGACCGCAAGCAGCATGAGCAGCCAAAACGCGTGCCGTCTGAACGTAGCAAAACTATGTTGAGACCGCAAGCAGCATGAGCAGCCAAAACGCGTGCCGTCTGAACGTAGCAAAACTATGTTGCGACCGCAAGCAGCAAGAGCAGCCAAAAGGCGTGCGGTCTGAACGTAGCATAACTATGTTGAGACCCAAGCAGCATGAGCAGCCAAAACGCGTGCGGTCTGAACGTAGCAAAACTATGTTGAGACCGCAAGCAGCAAGAGCAGCCAAAAGGCGTGCGGTCTGAACGTAGCATAACTATGTTGAGACAGCAAGCAGGATGAGCAGCCAAAACGCGTGCGGTCTGAACGTAGCATAACTATGTTGAGACCGCAAGCAGCAAGAGCAGCCAAAACACGTGCCATGCAAAGTTGTGCTACGTTCAGACCGCAAGCAGGTCGTTTTTTTGGGACATTTTGCTGCGCCTTGATGCGTGTCAACCATTGACTTAGCTTGTAAACTAGCTGCTCCTGCTGCCTCTGCTGCTTTAGGTGTGAACGTAGGGTAAGACACAGCCCTTCCTCATTTGCATAATGAGGCAGAAAAGCATACAGAAATGTAAAAACGACAGGCAGAAACAAATAGCGTGGAATAAATAGGGTAAAAAAATAAAAAGGAAGAATTAAACATACAAAAATATTAGATAGCTAAATATAGTATAGCTGGTCCTCCATATTTGTGGAAGTAATCAGTGGTGTCTAGTAACGAAGTACCAATACTTCATTACTGTACTTAAGTACACTTTTCACGTAGCTATACACTACTCCATTACTTATTTTTTTTCCTACTTCTGACTTCTACTCATTACATTTTCACACAAGTACCTGTACTTTCTATTCCTTACATTTTTAAAACAAATGCTAAAATATTCAGACACCCATGGCAATGCATATAGTTCAAAGAAATAAGAAACTGCAAATTCAATGGGCTCATTTGGCAACAATTGGCATTAAAATTCATTAAATGTGATTACCATGGCATTTAAAATGCTTTATATAAAAAAAAATGTGTCAAATATATCAGATTTAAAATACATGACTGGAAGTTTTCCACAATCTTGGGTTTAAAAGTGTTTCCAACTGTGAGACTATTAATAGATGAGGAGAAATCTATCTTCTTCACCTGTTTACATCCATAAAGTACATCCATGTCTCTTGTATAGACAGTCACTATAACAGAAGTTCTTCATACATTGTTGGTGTTTTCAATAAGTCAGCGAAAATCAGTTTTTTTCTGTAATCTTTATGTAAATCTTTATGATTTTTATTAATGATAAAAATGTTTGTATCCTGTACATAAATATAGTCTGCATTGTCACCATAGATGTGAGAAACAAGCCATCATCCATATATGATGCTTATTTTCTGTTTTTAGTAAAGTCTTTGCTGTAAAGGTATTTTTTTTTCATTAAATCAACTGTTTGACTTTGTAAATCGATTACATTGTGTATTCTTTGTCTTCAATTATTTTGGCTCCAAAATTAAGTAGTTGATTAAATTAAATGCAGGCAACCTGTACCAGTTCTAGGCACATTGCATGCTTTGAGTTGTTTGCACATAGCAGCTGATCTAAAAAGTTATTTTAAATTGTTAATCATGGGGTCGATACTTGTTGCTGTGGGTTTGCTGACCTCTTCATAAGAAGAAAAAAAGTTTCATTCCTCAAATTAAAATTCTTTAAAACCTGCTATTCACAATGATATTGACTATTTTACTAAATGTTATTTGTAAAGCTTTAAAAAAAAAACAGGACAAAGGTTATACAAAATTGTGTGTTATAAAACCAAGCAGACAAAAAAACAGGGAAGGGAATAAAAAACACACCACAGTAGGTTATTCAGAATAGAGAATACAAAATAACAAATAATTACAAATAAGTAACAACAGAAAGTGAGAAAAATGCTATGTGATTTGCTCAAACAAGTGAACAGTTTAATGGCAGCATTTTGCACAAGTTTCAGGTAAAGTTACATAACTCTCAATGCCTTTGACTCCATGCATGCATTCTACAAGCCTGGGCAGGTGGCAGCGTTACTTTCTCTGAATGCTGAACATCGCTTTGCATATTTGATGCAACAAATCTAAAATATTGTAATCGCTTTTACTTGACATTATGTTGAGAACTTAAACCAAACTCTTGGGAATGTCAACTTTAAGGAGAACAGTCTCCTTGTGGGTTAAGGACTGGTTCGCCTCTGTTATTGAGTGCCTCCAGAGAACAGACAGCCCTTGTTATAAATGTGATGTAGCGTCTGTCTTAGCGTGGAGCCTGAGAGCAGCGTGCTGAGTCATTGTTATCTTTTAGAAAGCAAGAGCTTTAAAACCCTTTTAGGAAAAGGTAATGGTTCATCTTCTGGGGCTCTACATTTATAGGACACTGCAGGAAAATGATAAATAGAAACACAGATCAGTAATGTTTGCTAACATTCAGCTGTTGCACAAAGAAAACAAAATTATGAATATGCAATGAGGATCAACACCAAATTAAAATTCAACCATTGATAGAGATTAAGAAAGAAAAAGCAAGCAAGAAAAAAAAAACAAACGGGACTGATCGAATACTATTTACCATGAAGAGGTCTTTCAATGTTTGCTGAAAACATGGTGACAATAAAAGGAAAGTAATAATTAAAAAAACGCTCTGCTCAGACTGAGCCAGGGTCTGCTCTATGTGTATTCCTGTTAGAGTGTTTTTTCTTTCATCTTTCACCACATGCAAGCTCAAATTCTCCAAAGTTAGCAATTTAATTGTGGGAGTTTGTCACCACATGGTTATTCGGGGGGCATGGACCGCTGGTTTTCCTTAGAGAATAAACCTTTTTCTATTTTGTATTATAAAATGAACTCGTTATTACTACTTTATTAGTGGTCTCTAACTATATGTAATTGACCTTGACCATTAACCTGTCTCTGTTGTCTTTATATTATTGTAGGCAGGAGATGTCTGTCTTTTGATGTGACTCAAGATGATTCATGTTGTATATCAATAAACTGAATTGAATTTCAGTTTATTCACCCTTTCTGGGTGTCGCATTTTCTCATCTAATATATTAGACTTCTAAAAAAGGCACAGAGCAAAAGTAAAGTAATCTAAAGCAGCATCTTTGCTCCTAAAGAGCAGCAAATCAATTGGAGAAAAAACTTTTTTGTTTTCCATTCTGGGTTTATAACAGTCCTCTTCCTCATGTTGTGTTGGCTGATGAATAACTAAAGAGTTTCACGCTGCTTCTGGTAAGAAGGCAGTGTGACTCACAGTCATAACAGCACATGCTAAACGGAAAGTAGTCCCTTCCTTGAAGCCAAAATTTCCCCCCTGAACTTCCTCCGCCCCGCCTCCTTCCTCCTCCATCACTGACTCCACCTGATCAGCCAATCAGAGCGCAGAGGATGAGGCCGCAGCACCGCCCTTCCCCCCACCTCCCCATCCGCGACACGAACCCAATGAGCTTAGAGAAAGTGGGCCGTCTCTGCGTGGCCTTTTCTGCTTCAACTTGCTGCGTTCACTCGTGTTTCCTGGCTTCAACTCTTTCGCAAAGAAAAACCTGAAAAGTATTTTTTTTTCTGTTACAAATCACACTGGACTGGAGTCAGGTATTATATCTACATCTTCAGTTAGATTCTAACTGAAGCCAGGTCGCAGACATTTTGTTTTACTATTACTTAGTCTAAGTTGGTTTGTGTGAGTTTGTGAAAGAGGGAAGAGGAGTCGGATTGGGTTTGTCTGCATGAGTTTTTGAGTTGGAAAAAGAGCAGAATGATCGCGGCTCAGCTACTGGCCTATTACTTCACAGAGCTGAAGGATGACCAAGTTAAAAAGGTAAGCTTTAACGTGTCTTTCTGGGTATTTGACAGGTGGATACCGAGAGAAGAACACAATTTCCCTCCATTGTTGCTCTACATGTTTGCACTAGTTTAAAATGTAAGGGAAGAAAACAAACATGACTTTGTTAGGAGGCTGTTAAAACCTCACTAATGATGAGACTTGGATCAGCGTGGCCCGGTGGGACGTGACTAACTGCACCGTTTGGGTAGTAGGATGTGTAAGGAGGTGAGTGACTGATGGCATGATGTAAGAGGAGTCAGGAAGTGAGGCTCGGGGATGAGGAGCTTGCTGTCTCTCTTCTTCTCTGCTCTCATTAAAGTTCACATTGATTCCCTCACTGGAGGTCAGCAGAATGAGAGCAGAAGAGGAGCTTTTTCTCCACATATAAATAATTCAGATCAATTCTCTTCTCTAGATGGATCAGCGGTTTCAGTAATGCCTCAGTGTGCTCTTCCCCACCAACACATTATCTTTTATTAGTTACCAAATATGATGCATTTGTAAACCTGCTATATATTTAGAAAGCATCTAACCCTGTTTTACACATTGTAACATTCAATTCATGGATAAGCTAAAAACTGCACATATTTGATCTGAATCTGAAACCTACAACTTATCACAGAATATTAAGTTTTAGTTTCTTCTAAACTTTAATCTGCATTTTTAGTTTACTCTTATCCTCTCTCCACTGAAAGTGATTAAAGTTCTTTAATCTCTAAGAATAACCAGTATGGCACAGATCCCCCGCCCCTCAAAATTCCCTTGTCAGACTTTGTAACCTTGAATGTTAGTGTATGAAAAAACATTCCCATGTAGACCCATGTGTGTCCTCCATGTCTTTCACCGTGTGTGTGTGTGTGTGTGTGTGTGTGTGTGTGTGTGTGTGTGTGTGTGTGTGTGAATCTATATGTGGGAAAATGGTCAGGAGCCATCCTACTACTGGTCTTGGAAGAGAAAGTGTATGTTGGAGCAGTGATCCTCTCCAACATGCAAAACAGTTCAATGCAAACATCTGGCTTTTTACCACTATTTCAAAACATTTTCAGAAAACATTTATTGATCCCAAATAAAAATGTGATAGTTTGTCTTTAAATTTAGTAAACCTTCTATTCTATAGTATTTGGAAAAACTACAAAACATTTTCATTAATAATTAAAGATCCATATTGTTACTGAACCCAGAGCTAGTCCTGCATGGTGTTAAACACACAGAAAAGGACAACTGGGATAGATGCCTTCTTAGTAAATTGGAACAATGATTTTAAAAAGTATTGATTAAAAAATAACTATCCCTAGTATTACCACTTTCCAAAATTGCTGGTAAACTATACATTTTTAGTGAAGCTTCCATTTCTAAATGACAATATGACCCTTAAGATGTGACTCTTTTGGTCCGGATCTAATGTGGAATAAAAAAATTAAAGCTTCTCATAATCAAGACAGAGAAACATTTTGATCTTAGTTTACATCAATATTTCTACTAAACTAGTTGGTTTTCAGTAAATATCTCCACTTTGGAATGATATTAGATTCCGCCAGGTTTGACTCATTTTCTCCCAGATCTGATGTTGAATGATGAAATAATGATAGCAAAAGTTATAATTATAAGACCTCTGCTCAGACTGAGCCAGGGTCTGCTGTGGGTTTATTGCCGATGTTTTTTCTTTAATCTTGCACCACATGCAAGCTCAGTTTAAGCGGATTCTCCAATCAAGACCGAGAACACAAGAAATAAAATAGCATAAAGATGAAGAGATTATTAAGTCTGATATGAAAAAGTAAACAGATACATTAAAATGTCTGTTCTTATTGGGAAACATATTCTCGGGCATTACTACCATAATTCTTGGTGTTTGTGGGACCTAAAAACAGCTAGGGTTAACTGTGGTATGGTACTGAACTATGTAAAGATAATGCCATGCAATTGATGCTGATTTTCTTCATTTGTCTTTCTTTTTTTGCCTTTGCAACCGTTCTCATTAGCTTTAGCAATCCAATCCCAAAAGTTTATACCAGATCAAACCATCATATGAAGATAAAAGCCACACTTTGATATTGCAGTTAGGCAGCTCTGTTTATATATTAGTTTTATTTTTATTGGAAGAAACTCTGAATGCAAGAGACCTTTCAAAACAAAATGTGAAAAATTCTTCAGCAGAGGTAAAGATAGGTTAGATGTTTAAGCTCGCCTTTGGTTTATAGAATGATGATGAGTGATTTATCTGCCAACCTTTTGTTAAATGACACGTTATATCTTTATACCTTATGTCTTATATCTCCTTACTTTAGAACAGGGTAAAGATTGCATCTTTTATTCATTTAACCTGACAGAGTACTTTCATTTAGCTGTGACCAAAGAGGCTATAAATCCAACAGTATTTGAGGGAATAAATAGGTCATTCACATAAAAATATATGTCCCTACAGTTATTCTGAATTGAGAGGTCATAGTATTAGCATTTAGAGACTGAAGTAAAGTTTAAAGCTTTTTATTTTGATAGTTTTAATAAACAGAGGAATAGGATTAGGGCCCTGAAAGCAGTCAGAAAAAAAAGTTTTTTTTTTTTTTTTTTGGTCAAAGCTGGTTTTACAATATGTGTGTGTGTGTGTGTTTAGTGCAGATCGGGATCCAACAGTTCCTAGTTCTGCAAAAAGTCAGGAACTAAATCACATTGTGTGACCTTGAGAATTAAGTCATAATATGTCTTATTTCCCTGAGTACCTGGACTCTTGTATGGTCCCTTTAAGGTCTCTGAATAATGTCATTTTTCACCTCTCTGTTTTAGTGTTTATAATTGGGAAGAAGCCGTTGGATGTTCTTCGTTTGTTTTAGTTTCACACTTTCCCTGCAAAAGGACTCTTAAAGCCATGTTTCTTCACTTACTGATCCTGAGTCAGATCATGACCTGCAAAGGTGAAACAGCCCTCATCTGCAGCCAGTACCTGACGTAATACAACACCTCTCCCTCCCTTCTTTACTCTTGCTCTCTTCCTCTCCCCGCCTCCCTAAAATAGGCCAGCTTTGAACCATGTGACCACAGGTGACTGCAGAGGGCTTATGCCTGCACACAGCAATCGGCAGCTGTGTTGCTAGAGTTTGTCAGGGCCTTAGTCATGGAAGTTATTGAAAACTTCCTCTTGCTCCAAAACTGTAAAATTTATACTTTGAACTTATTGTAACATTAAATAACATTAAGCCAAAGTTAAAGCTTTTTTTCCTCCTCTCAGTCAGCTGCTTGTCTGCCGCGGTGTCCTTGACTGACTTCCTGATTCGCTTCTAGTTCCCATTGAAAGCAGCATCTGCATGTGTCTGCATCTGTGAGAGTATGTGCTTGGGTGGGAATAAGGGAGTGTGCAGAAGGGGGCGGTGTAGCAGCCTGTATTTTTCCACATGGCGAGGCTGTGTGTGTGTTTGTGTGCACAATATTGTGGTGCACGCACACACACAGACAGACAAGTGGAGTTGCATTGAGTTTCCCCTCAATCTCCTTGTGGAAAGAATAGGAATGCAAACAAAAGGAGGTGGGAGGAGAGTGTGAAGGCTCTCAGAGTTGTAAAGCAGGCTCTGGGTTGTCAGAGGTGAGTTGAGGGATAAATGTGACCTTTTCAGAAATCATGTATGCAGAGAGCAAAGACGAGAGCAAAACCTGGACAGTTAAACCACCAAGCAAAAGACTTATTCTGATAAAGTCATGTTTTGTATTAGCACCGTCTAACCGGATGATACGGTGCTTTAAAAAGAGCGTATGCATGATCACAAAATGCTGAGTCAGAAATGCTGCTGACTCAAAAATCAGGAACAGAGCTAGAGTGCTTTAAAAACATTTGCCCGCCTTACAGATTTCTTCAGCATTTTTGTTGTCTGTTTCTTTAAACACTGTTAAGCTCAGCTGATTTAGATCAAATATTTATTTTTCATTTCAAACAGCAATCACTTGAATTGATAAAGAATCTCAATATATTTGAGCATTTATTTTTCCCCACTAGAACAGAACGAGTCATACAACATTAAATAGGCTAAAAAATCTCAAAAGGAAAATATATTTTTAGCTTCTTAAGATTTGGAAGATGTCACACCTGGAGTAGTGCTAAACTTTCCCAGGGGTTTTACAAAAAAGTGACTTTTTTTGATCCAAAAACTTTAGGAAAGTGTCTGTGGACTAGTAAAACAAAAGGGTTAAATCTTTTGTAAGGTGTGCACCAAACTAGGGCGGTTTTACTGCTTCAGGGCCATTCTGGCTTGTAGAAATTGCTTAAACCTTAAATTCTGTTTTTTGCTTGAAAATCGACTTGGTGATATATCGTGACTTAGCTGCCAAATATAATATAGATCTTTCAGTTGCTAATATCGATTTAAAAAAAGAAAAAAAAAACATTTTTACCTAAAACATGATGGGTTGCCTCTGCACCCCCACCCTGGCAGATAGAGCTGTGGAACCCTTTAGCTGTGCAGCGCAGCACCTTATCTGTAGTTGAGGAAGTCACAGTGGAAGACGTGGACTGACTCAAACCACATACAACATGGATACCAACATAATTGAATAATCAATCTAATGAACATATGCAGAACTTGCTTATTTGTTATCCATACATTTAATTTCGGTAGTTGGGTAAAATATCGCAATATATATATTGATATTGCAATATTTTTTATATCGTATTGTTTCCTCAATACTGTGACACGTATCGTATCGCAACACCCATGCCAATAATCGCCCCCTAGTAATGAGTAGGACAATGATCAGAAGACAATCACCAAGTCTATCTATGATTGGCTGAAAGATTGAAGGTTTTGGAATGGTCTAGTCAAAGCCACAATCGTGAAAAGAAAAGTTTTTAGCTCTATTTAATCAAAGTTTGATTATCTGAAATAGTCAAGTGTGCATAAAAAGCAAAAATAAAACATACCCCTTGATTACTCTTATTCCTGGTTGGAAGGATGACCACTAAACTAGAGGCTTAGCAAGAAGAGGAAGCTCTGTGACCTTACTTTGCT